ATCAAGGGGATATTGGATTCATAGAATGAGTTGGGGAGGATTCCTCCCTTCTTGATGTTATGAAATAATGTCTTCAGTATAGGTAGTTGTTCTTCTTTATAAGTCTGGTAAAATTTGGTTGTGAAATCATCTGGTCTGGGACCTTTTTTTGTTGAAAGATCTTTTATTTAATTTCGCTACTTGATAATGGTCTATTCAGGAATTCTATTTCTACCTCACTGAGCATAGAGAAATTGTGTGTTTCCAGGAATTTGTCCATTTCTTCAACATTTTCAAGTTTATGTGCACAGAACATAAACATTTATACTATTCAGAGATGATATTTTATATGTTCATGGTATCACTTGTAATATCTTCTTTTTCATTTCTGACTGAGCTTATTAGGGTCCTTTATTTTCTGTCTCTGGTTAATCTAGTGAGAGGCCCATCAATTTTGTTTAACTTTTCAAAGAACCAACTTTTTGTTTCATTATTTTTCTGTATAAATCTTTTGGAATGGATTCCATTTAGTTCTTCTCTGACTTTAGTTATTTCTTTTCTTCTGCTGAGTTTGGGATTGGTTTGCTTTTTCTTTTCTAATTCCTTGAAATGATTCATTGGATTATTGATTTGTGATCTTTATGTCTTTTGGACATAGGCATCTAAAGCTATGAATTTTCCTCTTAGAACTACTTTTGCAGAATTCCAAAGATTTTAGTAACTTGTGTCTCTTTTGTCATTTAGTTAAAAGAATCTTTTGGTTTTCATCTTAATTTTCTCCTTGACACAATAATCATTCAGCATTAGCATAATAGACACCCACCAGTGTAAAACCATACAAAAACTAAAGTTCAGAGCCAAGATACCACAATGGCTCAAGAGGTCAAACAAAGCTCAAGATACCACAAAGGCTCAAGAGGTCAAATAAAGTTCTACGCAACAGGATGAAAAGAAATCCACCCCGCTTATCAATTCTTTCAATAAATGTGAATGGCGTGAACTCCCCACTGAAGAGACACAAGCTAGCTGAGTGGATAAAAAGTACAAGCCAAGTATCTGCTGTCTCCAGGAAATGTATCTAACTCATAAGGGACTCGTTCAGCCTCAAGGTGAAGGGATGGAAAACAATATTCCATGCAATGGAAACCAAAAGAAAGCTTGTGTAGCCGTTCTCATATCAGATAACATAGACTTCAACAACAAAAGTAAAGAAAGACAAAGATGGTCATCATATAATGGTGAAGGGAAAAATTCAATAAGAGGGCATAACTATCCTAAATATCTATGCACCTAGCACAGGTGCACCTAGATTCATAAACAAAATCCTACTTAATCTAAACAAAATGATAAACAGCAGCATTGTAATAGGCAGGGACTTCAACACCGCACTGACAGAATGAGACAAATCCTCCAAACAGAAAATAAACAAAGAAACAATGGACTTAAACAGGACTCTAGAACAAATGGGCCTAACAGACGTTTACAGAACATTCTACCTCCATACTACTGAATATACATTCTTCTCATCAACTCACAGAGCATTCTGTAAGATTGATCACATCATGGGCCACAAAACATGTCTCAACAAATTTTTAAAAATAGAAATTATACCGTGTATTTTCTCACACCACACCACTGTGGTGTGAGAAAATAAAATTAGAAATCAATTCCAGGCCGGGCGCTGTGGCTCACGCCTGTAATCCTAGCTCTTGGGAGGCCGAGGCGGGCGGATTGCTCAAGGTCAGGAGTTCAAAACCAGCCTGAGCGAGACCCCGTCTCTACTATAAATAGAAAGAAATTAATTGGCCAACTGATATATATATAAAAAATTAGCCGGGCATGGTGGCGCATGCCTGTAGTCCCAGCTACTTGGGAGGCTGAGGCAGAAGGATCACTCGAGCCCAGGAGTTTGAGGTTGCTGTGAGCTAGGCTGACGCCACGGCACTCACTCTAGCCTGGGCAACAAAGCGAGACTCTGTCTCAAAAAAAAAAAAAAAAAATCAATTCCAACAGAAACATTCAACTCTATACAAAGTCATGGAAATTAAGCAAATTTTTTATTTTAAGAATGTCTACAAATTGGTAAGGCAAACACAAAAACTCCAGTAGATAAATGAATGATTCAAACAAAAGGAAGCATAATTAGTAAACAAAAGACTTAAAATTATGAAGCTCACTAAAAATAAAATATAGGCATAAAAATAACAGTGAGGATTTTTTTTGTCAGTTCTATTAACTTACACTTGGAAAGGGCTTGTGGAATTTGGTACACTCATCTACTATTGTTGGCATTGCGAATTGCTGCAAATGTTTTGGAAAACAATTCAGCAATACATACAAAGAACAATAAAAGTGTTTCTTTGTCTTGACACAGCAATCCTACTTCTGGAAACTTGGTATATAAAAACAAAAATAAGTAAGAAGCAATAGGACTTATGACAGGAAAAAAGGAAGGAAGAAAGCAGGGTTGGATGTTAAGAAGTTGGAAGGAAGAAAGAAGGAAAGAAAACAAGCTATATAATCAACAATGGGGCATTAATTAAATGATGGCACAATGCAGCCATTTGAAATACTATGTAGCCTACATAAAGGAAGTAGAATGCTTCCTGTGGAATGTTCAGTAAAAGAAAGCAGGATTTATCACTGTCCCTATATCAAATGAGCTACCATGCAGAAAAAAATAGAATGTGTAAGAACTAATATTAGAAGGGAAGTTTCAAAAGGGAAAATAGTTTTCCTCTATCTTCCAAATTTTCATTACTGTTACTTTATAACCCTAACAACAGTATCAAAACATAGACAATGCTTAGAAGACAGTGAATGCAAACCCCAATGCTTCCAGACCAGCAGACAGCCTCATTCTTGTGTTCCTAGGGAGATGAGGAGATTTTCATTGACCATGGATATTGTTGGAATAGGAATGACAGAGAAAAAAATTGGAAAGAAAAAATAAAAGAACAAGATTTATTTATTTATTTATTCAAAGCCAAGAGATGCCTAAGAACATCCACTTTCTACATATACATGGGAGAAGATTATTCAGATAAATAGTTGTTTGTTTCCATGCAAGCTTTAAATAAGCACCTGGTAAAATCTTCTGAATAGGGATTGAGGATTGAGTCACTTATTGGTGCTTTGTTGTATTAATCATCACCATCAAATAATAAAACTATTAGTCACTTAATCGCACATGCTGCTACACAGGCCTTTATCTGATCACAATGCACTCCACCCTAGTTATGGAGATACTTTTTCTAGGAAAAAGTATCTCCCTTTCTCCCCTTTCCCATCCACCTGACACTTGGCTGATTGCTTTGGTGCCCAAGTTTGGTCAGAAGGGAAGGAGCAAAGAGACTGATGACTCCCTGCTGTAGGTTTTTGCTACTGGCATCAGGGAACAGGCTTTCCTTTTTAGTGATTAATAACAACATGGTGCAATTTTCCTATTGTTCAGTTGTCATTTCTAAGCTCTGCTTTGCTATCAGCCTGGCAGCCAGAAAAAAAAAAAAAAAAAAAAGGCTTCTAACAACCCCAGAAACCACCGCCCTGGCTTGGGATCAGTGGGCATCAGTGTTTCGGGGCTGACAGTTTTAGGTGGAAGAGACATCAGATTTCCAGCCGTACCTGCCTTTGTCTCCTCAGCTGTGAAAAGCCCTAAGTGCCTATTTCCTTGCAATACCTAAGCCCACGACTACTACATAAAAAAGAGATTTCCATTTCCTGCCTCCTACTTCTGTAGTTGCAAAACTGTCTTTTTGACAGGTTATTAAAATCTTTAAAGTTGAGATGTGGGTTTGGGGTGTTTTTTTCTTTTCTTTTAAGCATTCCAATGATGGTTTTAGAACATCTTGAAGTAAGGTACAGTTTAGCTTTCTGAAGACAGCAGTCAGTTGCATGTTTCCCCGGAAGCCACCGCCAGCCATAGAGTTTCTGGAAAGGTGCCCTGGGGCCAGCGTGGTTGTTAGTTAGCAAGGTGTCACTGCAATATGAACTTTGCGTAGCTAACTAACCATGGGCCTTCAATACTTCAAGTACAGTTCTAGCCCAAGCCTGAAAGATGATTTACTGTAATATATATATATATATATATATATATATACTTTTTAATTGACAATAATTGTATGTATTCATGGGGTACATAGTGATGTTGTGTTTTGTTTTGTTTTGTTGAGGCAGATCTTGCTCTGTCTCCTAGGCTAGAGTGCAATAGCACCACAACAACTCATCGTAACCTCAAACTCCTGGGATCCAGCGATCCTCCTGCCTCAGTCTCCTGAGTAGCTGGGACTACTGGCACATGCCACCACACCTGGCTGATTTTTCTATTTTTCATACAGACAAGGTCTCGCTCAGGCTGGTCTCAAACTCCTGGCCTCAAGTGATCCTCCTGCCTTGGCCTCCCAAAGTGCTAGGATTATAGGTGAGAGCCACGGCACCCAGCCATAGTGATATTTTGGCACATATAATGTATAGTGATCAGATCAGGATAATTATTAATAGGATATCCGTCATCTCAAATATTTATCATTTTGTTGGGAATGTTCAATATCCTCTTTCAAACGATTTGAAACTATATATTATTGTTAAGTATAGTCATTCTGCAGGGGCATAGAACATTAGAACTTACTCTTCTTATCTAGCTGTTATTTTGTGCCCTTTAACAAATTTCTCCCTATCCCTCCCTTTTCCCACCCTTCCCAGCCTCTAGTTACTATTCTCTACTGCACAGGTGATATAATTCAGTACTTGGTAAAGAATTTACTCCCTTATAGTCACTGATATGAGCAATAAAACTGGAACAGGGCAAGAATCCTGACTGTGTAAATACTGTGTTGAGGCCACAGATCACTTAAAAATCCACGTACAATGCCGGGGTTCAGGACACGCTGCGTGAACACAGCCCCTGGCGATTGAGAAAGCAGCAGAAGCAGGAAGGTCTCTCTTCCCTTCCCCTCACTCTTCTCCCTGATGCAGGTCGTAAAACCCTCATTCTAGAGGTGTCCACCGTATCCTGGGGGAAAGGAACGTCCTAGTTTCTGAAGACACATGGACACAGAGAAGAATCTGAACCAATGGGCCTTGCCAGCTTCCCCCTAGTTTATTACCATCAGGTCAGACCCCCTTTGTTCCATCACATTCTCCACAATGATCTACCTCTTCGCCGAACTCAGCGTGAACGTGCACACATTTCTCTGTTTCTTCGCGTTTTCATTTCCGAAGCCTCCCGTGTCACATAAGACGTGCATTAAATAAATGTAAATGCTTTTCTCTTGTAAATCTGTCTTTTGGTATAGAGCCTCAGCCATAAACCCAGGGACAGGTGAGGAAAAGTCACTAGAGAACATTGGATGCAATCCTCATCTAATCTTTCTAATAAGAGTGCTTTTTTCATTAGGTAGTCCTCCTTATCTGAGATTTTACTTTCTTAGCTTCAGTGCAGTAAGATATTTTGAGAGAGAGACACACATTCACATAACTTTTATCACAGTATATTGTTATCATTGTTCCATTTTATTATTAGGTATTGTTGTTAAACTCTTACTGTGCTTGATTTATAAATTGACCTTTCTCATAGGTATGTACGTACAGGAAAAACATAGTATATATAGCGCTTGATCCTATCTGAGGTTTCAGGCATACACTGGGGATCTTAAAATGTGTAAGCCCTGTGGATCCGGGGGACCACTGTACTTGAATTTTCCCCTTTATCCCATAATGTAGATGTTTCACAACAGGCCAGGTGCTTCCAAGACATGAGAAAAATTTCCAAATGGAATCATGACACTGAAGAGAATTAAAAGTGGTTTTAAGAAATCTTTAGGTTCACATAAATACAATTGCAATGTTAGGCAAAAGAAGTTCAGTTTCCCAGGAGTGACTTGCTGGGTGTGCCCATGACGTCTTGGCAGCTAGTAGTGGTGGCTTCTTCAGCGAAGGCTGATGAGTTCATTCCGTCTTCATCTGGAACCCTGATGGCTGACTTGGGACGTCTAGGCTCCAGACTCCTGGTGTGCTGTCATTCAGGCCAGCCCTCTGTTAGGGAGTGTCAGAGCAGAGACCACGAAAAGGCAGGAGGTTCCAGGGTCTCTTCCACTTTGGGCCTGTTTCATGATGGGTGTGTATCCTTTCTTGCTTATGTTTCTTTCTTGATGCAGGCAGGCTCAGTTTCCTCTTCTGTAAAACGGAGATAATAACTCCCACCTCATGTGATTGCTTTGAGGAGTGAAGATGTTCCAATGAGTAAAGCACCTGGCGCTATTTATTGCCAATGGAAATGACTAAACAACAGCTAAAAACAATGGAAAATTTAAAACATTACAATCTGGATGTGATGAAACAGTTTGGTTGGAAAATTTGTTCTTTTTTTCCTACATGTGGTAGGTATCCTTTTACAAATCTTGCATATAGTTGCAGCAGGTTGCGATAAATAAATTTATTCTTATTTTGTATACCTATACTTAAGGTCCCTTTAATTAATATGGAAGATTATGCAAAGCAATATTTTATTACCCAAGCCCAGATCCCCTTTTTCTTTTATAAACGTAGAACAGCAGGATCCTGAAAAAGCTTACAAATACACAGAACCCTATTCACTTCCTCCCACATACCTTCTTATTTCATCTGATTCCATCCCATAATAGTAGACAGCCTTGTGTATTTAAAGGGACAAGTGAGTGTCCTCCCTCATTACCTCCATTGTGCCCGGTCTCACTTCTGAAAAACAGGAAAGTTTTTTTCCAGTAAGTTTGATCTCTTTCCTCCCCTTTCCCTCTGCTAACCAATGCCTGGTCTCATGCCTTCACTGACGTTTTTACACATTTTCCAGAGCCTGCGGGACTTAAAATATCTCACTAAATGCTGGTGAAAGCATTTAGTCTCCCAGCAGACTCTCCAGGGGCAGCCGGCCGCAGGGTCCTTCTGGAGAATGTGGGAGGACAGTCCCAGCAAACAAGTGAGGCCTCCCGTAATGCGACCTGACAGTGTCCCTGGGGCGGAGGCCGGCGGGGGAGGGCCCGGAGAGTGCTGGTAGTTAGGGAACGATTTGCATAATTACATTCACCTGAGGGACTCCATTTACCCAACAATGGGTCTCATTGTGGTAAAGCCAGCAGCTGGCCATACTGTTAGAACAATGTGAGCTTCAGTCTTGTTCTTCCAAAACAAATGGACTTGAACTCAGGAAAAAAAACAAAACAAAAACAAATGACAATTAGCATTTCGAATGGTATAGAGTCGTGAGTATTACAAATGTTAGCGTGATGTGTAACACTCTGTATTTGAGACATGTATCTATATGTAGTGCTTATATCACTTCATACGATTGCAGAAGGATTATATACCATTAATAATAATACATTTGCATATGCACTACCTATACTGTATAGAGGTTCATATAATAACACATGTATACTTGAGATTTGTGTATTAAAGTGTCCGTGAACAAGTGAGATGACTGCTGAAATATGCATTTTCTTCTGATGTTTGGTGAAGAATTAGACGTGAAAGTCTTTTTCTGTGTAAGGCACTTACTGCCTGAAGTTCCAGTGTGTGCCTTTTGTTTTCTGGCTGCCAAAGATTACAATGGATTTGAGAGATGCCAATCAGAACCCAGAGAGGAGGCGCCTTATTGAGGAGGCGGCAGCGTTTGCCCAAGTCCGTGCTCTGTGGCTGAGGATATGTTTACCTAAGACTCCAAATAGGCAGCGTGGAGATTTGAAGACCGAGTGCAAATATTGTGCCCGGCTCATTTCCTGGTATTGCCCACACTTACATTAAAAACGGAGGTCCAGGGAGTGGAGGCTGCATAGATTTAGAGGCAATTCCTTTTATTATGCCCAATAATTGTTACATTTTGTCCCTCAAAATTAGAACACAGGATGCATTTCTAAGTGAAGAAAAACCCCTAAAGGGGTTTGCCTATTCTCAACTTTAATTAAGTACACATAGTAAACATCTCTTTTATAAGCATGGGAGCCTCGCAGAAATTTCTTTTCAGCATTTTATTGAAAAGTAGGGGAATATTGGAGCACTTCAGCTGGGGAAGGGAACTAGGCTTCGCCTTTGAAGCTCAAGCTGTGCTCTGCCTTTGCAAAAGGGGGTATTTGCTTTGGCCATTTTGTGACTTTACAATAAGATGCGGAAGTTAGAAGCTAGCAGGATTCCCAAGCCTGGAGTCACTGGGTTCTGTTAACCCACCATCACCCTGCCGCCAAAGTGAGTGTTCTCAAACCAAAACTCCTTCTGTAAAATTCCCCTGGCCCCCATGGTCTATGGCACTAGTCCCCAAGTGTGACGGCACATCTGAGCCACCTGGGTGCAACCTGGTCCCAAACCTTCACAGCCAGAATTCTCAGGGTCAGGCAGGACACAGAAGGGAAATCCATATTTATAGTTTACTTTTCAAGTCCTCCAGCTTTTTGGAATCAGAGAAATAATTCCAATCACATGAAAGAACCCAAGCCTCCATCCTAAAGGCCCCTAAGTATTCCTGGGTTAAAAGGGAAGAAGGACACTTAGATTTTTCTTGACTTTTTTCTTTTCCTGTTACACCAGCACAGAGCTCCTGCCCTCAGCTTTTTCCTTGAGCCGTTTGGTAGTCTGGATACCCTGTCTTTGTGTCACTTTACCCTCTCCTTCCCCAGCACACTGCCACCACTAGGGCGACACTGATGAGTGGGTAACAAAGCTTAAGAAATACCAAAGACAGAACAGAATAGGAAACTACACCACAGTCAACGTCCGACATCGCTGCTCCGAATGACTTGGCCCCTCCCACCATTAGACAAGTTAGCTGTGGTCATTGCTGTCCCCATGCCCTGGCCTTATCTGCCCCCTGCCCCAGAGGCCCTTCTCATCTCCTCTCCCCGACATCCTCCCTCCCAGTTTCCAGTTCCTTCCTCTCCTCTCCAACCCCCAAATCATCTCCCACTGGGGGGCTTCCTCTGGGAAAAGCCCAGAAGATGCCCGAGTAGAAGGTGTCTCCCCAGCCTCTTGGAGGCCACCCTTCATTTTGCAGAGCAGCTTTGATGTTCTCTGAGGATAAATTCAGAAATTTCCCCTACACCGTCAGATTTTTTTTTTCTTGAGACAAAGTCTCACTCTGTTGCCCAGGCTAGAGTGCCGTAGCATCAGCCTAGCTCACAGCAACCTCAACTCCTGGACTCAAGCAATCCTCCTGCCTCAGCCTCCTGGGTAGCTGGGATTATAGGCATGCGCCACCATGCCGGGCTAATTTTATATATATATATATATGTTTTTTAGTTGGCCAATTAATTTCTGTCTATTTTTAGTAAAGACAGGGTCTCGCTCTTGCTCAGGTTGGTTTCGAACTCTTAACCTTGAGCAATCCTCCTTCCTCGGCCTCCCAGAGTGCTAGGATTACAGGCATGAGCCACTGTGCCCAGCCAGATCTTTTTTTAAGCCTTTTAATTTTTATTACTCAAAAAAGCTTCATTTTCTTATTTAGCTTTCTGGTTCTGTGCCTTGAACACCTTCACAGTGATTTTCTGCTCCTCGATAAGGAGAGCACGCTTGATCCTGTTGCAAACACATTTAGCACACATGGAACCACCGTAGGCCCTGCTGACATGTTTTTTTGTTTTAGACAACCTCGTAAGAACTTTAGATCTCACAGCATGAATTCCTCGAAGTCTGCCTGGGCACAGGCCACATGCAGGTTTTGGTGCTTTCCCAACCTTCCTGGTATAAAGGTAAACAATTCTATCACCAGAGGCTGGGGACAGCCTAGTTTTGTTAGAGGCTGTGTTATAGGAAAGCCTAAGACAATATGTCAAAGGCTGGACCACTCTGAGGGCGGCTTCGGAAGAGCAGCCAGGATCAAGGAGTTTCTGAAGCTAAAAGAAGGGAACTTGCTCACCACCAGCCTCCCTCTTGCTCCTCTTACCCCTACCCTAGCTCAAAGGACTCCACCATCAGATTTTTAAAATTGCAAATATTAATATCTTTCTTCCTGGGACCCTAAAAAGCTCTTCATAAGATTCTGATGCAGCCTGTCCCCTGACGAGGTCTGGGGACTGCAGTTGCTAAGGGAGATCCCCATCTGTTACGTAGTGCATCAGGCACGAGACCCCCCACTCAGGGAAGACCCACATCAGCATAACACTAACCTGTTTCCTGGCCCATCAACTAGTCTATTGCCTGGCATCAGCATAACACTGAATCTATTGCCTGGTGCATCAACATAATAGTAACCAATTGCTGAACAGATCAACTAACCTACACCTGGTGCCCTACCCCTTGGACCACCTCAACTTAATAAAAGTGGGAAAAATCAGGTAGACTGGGCTCAGAATTTTGTGGCGAGGCCCCTCTGAGCCTGCCAGCGAATAAACTTTGATTCTCCAACTCTCTGTGTGCTGCTCGGTTTGTCCTTGGGACCACCCGCTGAAAACTTGCTGTAACACAAGCTCCCCTCTCTGTGGAAGATGCTCCTGGGAACTAGGTCCACCCCAGGATGGATTCCTGCTTACCTTGGAAGCATCTTTGCTGCCTTTTGTTCTGTGAAGCTTCCTGTAGCACTATCCAAGGTCGCTTTTCCTTTCATCACACGCGGTGCTCTGTGCGCTGTGTACGCATCAGTCTAGAGCAGTCACTTTACAGTAATGGGATTGGGGATTGCCACTTTCAGATGCCTCGCTGGTCTGAGAGTAGCTTGAAAGCAAGTCTTGCTCGTTGCGGCATCTCTGGCAGTTCAATGTGCTTGGCCCAGAGGAGACTGTTCCATACCGTTTACTGAATGAAGATGTGGAGTGACGATATCTGTTGGTTTAGGCAACTAGGAGGTCGTTGGTGACCGTGATCACTCTAGGAGTGCTCGCTGGGGACAGGCTTCCTGTGGTTGTACCAAGTGCTTGCCTAGTCGGGGAGACATGATGAATCCGACACTGTGCTCCCACCAACCCCTCAACATGGGCTCAGCCCAAAGGAAGGATGCCGTTTACTTACTGAATCTGCCACAAGGGTCATGATTTTATGTTTGTCATAGGGAGGGGCAGGGCTGCTGCATCACTCCCACCTCCTGAGACAGGAGTCAGTGTTTGGAACCCTATGGAGTCAATTCATTACTTTTTCTCTGTGAAGGGGGAAAACCTATCATAAAGAGAAATGAAGGTGCTGTAGGAGGGCCCTTATTGCCACGAATTTGGGAAATGTTCGAAGAGCCCGAGATGTCCACAGGCATCTCAAACTCCACACGTGCAAAACTGAAGTCATCACCTCTCCTGGGCAGACCTGCCTTCCTCCTGCGTTTCCTTCCACAGGTACACCTGGTCGCCAAATTGGGTGCCCTCCTGCACCACCCCCCTCCGTCCGCCCACAGGTCTTACTGGGGTCACGTCCAAGGCTGATCCCGCCCATACCCCTCCATTCTCCCACCACTGCCCTGCCTCAGTCCCTCAGCCCGTCATCCTACCTTGACTAGACGATGCCAGTCGCCTTTTACTTCCTGTCTTTCCTTACAAGTCCGTCCTCCAGATGCCCTCTAGACATCTTTCTGAAAACTGGATCTGATTCCCCTCCTGAAAACACTTGCATGTGCCTCCTTTACTCTCAGCTCACTGGATGAGTCCAGACTCTCTTGCTTGGGACACAAGGCCACTCCCGTACCAACCTACCATTTCTCAGAGCCTGCCTCTTCCAGCTGCACCCGCACGGGCACAGCACTTCAGCCACGGTCCCGAGCGTTCCCGGCTCCCGAAAGCCTCCTTGGCTTTGCACATGCTGTTCCTTGTGCCTGCACCGTTCCCCCTGTGTGCTGGACTCATCTCTAGATGACTCTGAGTCCCCTCCGAGTTCTCTATCCCTTCCCTGTGCAATGGTGCAGACTTTATTGTCACATTTAGTGTCCACATGCAATCATTTGCTCTCACTCCTCCGTGACAACTTGGCATCACGAAAGGTGATGTGTTGTTCATTTTTGTCTCCCCACCATCTATCCAAGCGTCCAGCAAAGTAAACCTTTGTTAAATTGAAAGTCTCTCAACCACCGCTGTATAATGGAATAATGTGCAACTACTAAGAAGGAGTTAGATCCACACTTATTGATTATAATTTCAGAGTGATATTTATGGTGCATCCCTAGTTTTTGTAAAAGATAGAAAAATAACTCTTTATATTTGTTTCGTCTATCTGAATATAGAGAAATGCATGGAAGAAATCCTAAGTATAATCCTTGATTACACCCAGTGAGTGAGGTTGGAGGAAGGAGGGAAGGTGATTTTCTTTATAACTCTATTGTTTGACTTGTCACAAAGAGCTTGTATTGCTTTTGTAAAATCAATTAGGCAAAATAAAGTAAGTGGTTGCTGGATGAGTAAATAGACTTCAGGAAAGAAGTTTTCAGAAAAGGAGGAGCACTGTTTCTGTTGAGCAAACCTTAAGAAAATCTGATGAAAATCCAAATGTGCAGAACGTATAATTAGGGTATTATTAGTCACCTTGTAAAGGATTGTTCTCTCCTCTAAAAAAATCTCCAAAGACTTCTTTTTAAAAGCCAGCTCCATTAAAGCTTTCACGCATTTGTTAACAGATCATTAACTGCAGAGCTTGACAGAGGGTGGGGCTGAGAAAGAGAAAGGTTTAGGAGTGGATGCCAATGGAAGACCAATCAGAAACGAAAATAAGCTCCATTGATACTATAGCGTAATTAATGGAGGAAATAATTACACCGAAAAAATACAAAGTTCAAGTAGATTCTCTGGAGAGAAGGCACCAGGCCAGACCACTGGATGGCCCAGCGAGAAGGGGAAGGTGCCTGGCTTCCTGGGAGTAGGGAGTTCGGGGCAGAGCTGTGGGCTCTAGAGCACTTTTACCAAACTCTGGCAGACACTATCTGGATCCTACATCTTACTGAGAAAACAAATCCTTTTCAGGTGTCTGCAATTGGAAAAGAGAGGTCTGTCGTGGTGGGCAGTAGTGGGCAGAGATGAAATATTTTTAAAAAATAAAAGAATAAAAATTAGGTACTCTAGACCTTGGCAGTCACTATGAAAACAGAAGAAACACCAAGAAAGTTGCATCATTAGAATGGATAAAGGCCTATCTCAGGCGTCCTCAAACTATGGCCCGAGGGCCACATGCGGGTGTTTTTTTACTTCAAAATAAGATAATGTGCAGTGTGCATAGGAATTTGTTCATAGTTTTTTTTTAAACTATAGTCCGGCCCTCCAACGGTCTGAGGGACAGTGAACTGGCCCCCTGTTTAAAAAGTTTGAGGACCCCTGCTTCAGTCTTTAAAGGGGGGAGACAATGAGAGCTACTGACTTGTGTTTAGTATTTCATAAAGGAAAATAAGTCAAGCAGTTTTGTATCATTGACTTACTAAAGTTCTTGTCACTAAAGAATAACTTTAAAAAGAAATATTCTGCCAAAACAAAGAAAATCAATCCATAGGCCTTTTGGGCTCCCACTCACAATTTTTAGTGCTAAAATCAGATTTCCAACAGTAAGTGCAGCCCGAGGGTGAGAGGAGGAAGGCAGGATGCGGCGTAACTGTGACTCCTCTGGATGACATGAAACAGGGACAGCTGAATTTTTCTGTAAAAAGCCAAATAGTAAGTATTTCAGGCTTTCTGGGCCAAGACACAAAATCAAGAATATGTAGTTACTTATCTAACAAAGAACAAAACCATTTTCCCCACAACTTTTTAAATTACTGATTTCAAAAACTTTATTTACGGGCCAGGCGCTGTGGCTCACGCCTGTAATCCTAGCTCTTGGGAGGCCGAGGCGGGCGGATTGCTCAAGGTCAGGAGTTCAAAACCAGCCTGAGCAAGAGCGAGACCCTGTCTCTACTATAAATAGAAAGAAATTAATTGGCCAACTGATATATATATAAAAAAATTAGCCGGGCATGGTGGCGCATGCCTGTAGTCCCAGCTACCCGGGAGGCTGAGGCAGAAGGATCACTCGAGCCCAGGAGTTTGAGGTTGCTGTGAGCTAGGCTGACGCCACGGCACTCACTCTAGCCTGGGCAACAAAGTGAGACTCTGTCTCAAAAAAAAAAAAAACAAAAAAAAAAACTTTATTTACGGACAGCACCATTTGAATTTCATAGTGTTTTCATGTGTCCTGGAATTG